CTTTTGGTGCATACTGACGCCGATGCTGCACGAGGTGACCGCTTCAAATAAGGACGGTGTTGTGAAACTTCAAGCTGTGAAACTTCATTTGGCTGGAAAGGCTACGGCTACATAGTGCAAATCAATTTATCATGGGATCTGTGCGAGAGGTTAGGCAACCTTAAGACCTTAAGATAGATGCAAGAAGCTGAGAATGCGAAGCGATTCCTCATAATTAGTTAATTAATACCGGATCTCATTCTGATAAGTACATATGATATATGTAGGTAACATGTAGTTCCGAGCTGGAGGTATTCAAAAACAACAAAAACATTTGTGGTCAGGTTAGGAGTGTATCTTCCTGGGTCCCTGCCAGGAACAGCCATCATCCATTGCCAAACTGGCACAGTGTTTCAAAAGATACAGTTCTTTCACAGAGAACCATGTGCATGCATGTGCAAGGGCTTTTGGGTTTGAAAGTTCGATTTGGGGGTCCTTGGAGCAAGACGGGCTACAGAACACACAACACGGAAACATTGCTGTTGCTAATGAATAGAATGGTACACATCATAGGCTGACATGCGCTGGAAACGACGATGCACACAAATCACAGTGTAATGATGACCATTGCGTTAAGCTCCTAGTAGCGTCCTTGTTCCTAGTAGTAAGGCCAGGAGCCCCTAGTAGCGTCCTTGTTCCTAGTAGCGATGCCCTTTGCTCCTAGTAGCGTCCTCTACCTACCCGCGTTGGCAGCTGCGGGTTGCGACTTTGGTGCACAGACACGAAGACGAAGACACGAGCACCCGCGACGACATGAAGATGCGAAGATGCGAAGACGCGCGGATAAGGGGACGCGAAGACTCTTCTAGGCTTAACATCCTGAGGGCTTCAAATCTTCAAGGTTTCAGGACTTCAAGGCTTGAGGACTTGAAGGTACTGGTATCATGTCAGCAGGCTTCAAGGCTTCGGGTCTTCAAAGGAACGTCACCTGAAATTGCCAACACACTGCTGAAAATACGAGCTTGGACTTACTCGCTGATTCCAGTGAAGGGTCAAGCCGAAATCAGCAATGATGAGTTGAATTGTGAGAACATTTGCGTTGGAGAGTTGGAACCCAGGTGAATGTCATGTGCCCAAATTCTCGATGGATACATTTGTTGCGAACTGCAAGGTATCCCCTCACCGATTAGCACTGATGAGCCTCCTTGCATGTGGACAATTGTTTTGAGGAGGAAAGTATCAGCGGCGCACTGGTTGGTGTAATCATCGCCGTCTCCAGTCTGGCTGGGATTGCTCTGCTGGCTTTGCTGATATTTTTGGGAACCTTGGCAACAATAAACAGATATAGAGGGTGGCCTTGTACATTCTACAATGATATATATATATAGTTATATGTGTATAATATGTTTTTTTTTCAGGTTCACGCTGGTTTGACAAAGCGCCCCCCCTTTAAAACACTTTTAGATTCAATGACAGACTGCATTATGCTGATTTCAGACCTTGGCCATCAATCAAAGGTTGGTCAGTGAAGCATGAAGGCTAAACCATGAAGCATGCGGACTTTGAGGCTACCACTTGTTCCTGATTGCGTCGGGGATGACCACAAAGGACTGGCTTTCAGGTCAGATCCCAGCTTGAGCTATATACAGCGATAGTCCAAGACACTCTGTTTGTGGTTTTGCTTGCACTAGTAGCTTCTTGTTACTACTAGTAAGGCACTTGTTTCTAATAGATTTTTGTATATTTCGTTCGCCATTTGTTTTCGGGCCGTCGGGCCGGTACTCCGGAACACTGAAGTTCTTCCCCAACCCCAAAGAAGAGTCATTGAGTCACTGAGCCCCGACACTGCCAATTCAAAGGAGGACTGGGCAAAGTAGACCTGTAGAGCAACAGCAAGAGTCTGAGGTTGTATTTTTTATCTTGCAATGTACGAAGGCTTTGCAAAACCAGCACATGCAGTTATCAGCGTCTTATTGAGTGTATACTTCTCTACGGTGTATACCTGCATATCCAACACAATCTTCTTTACTTTTCAGGCTCTTTAGAGCTTGGATGTACCTGATGCTTTCATACAAACACCTGTACTCGTGCTCATGTGGAAGAAACTTCCCATGTGGACATCTACGCAGGAGCACCTTGGAAAGTCCAGGCCAGAAACTATGATCGAGGAGCATCATTGGCCAGCGACCTTTGAAAGAGTTTGAGTTGACTGTGCTATGCTGTGCCTTGTGCTCACCTTTTGGGCGACGATTCGACGATCAGTTTTCCTGAGTTCGCCACAGGAGCCAACACTCTTTGGGGCACGTGGCCCACGGCTTTTTGATCCCAGAGTGTCCCTTTCTTGCCAATACTAGAGTGTTGTGATGGATACTCAGGACGCGCAAGTTCTGAGTTGACCATTCGTTACAAAGTGCACACTCACCAAGGTTCATCCAAGTATGATGTCCTCTGAGGGAACCCGTCACACACCACGTGTGATGGTACGACAGCCCTTCAAAGAACGGGCTTTTGCACAAGGAAGAAATCAGACTTTACTTACACATACTTACACCATAGTTGATGATTTGTGGCTTTCCTAGAATTTCATGACTTATGCTGTTTGAGAAGTTCCAAATGTGGAGAGATTAGCAGTGCAAGCTTCTTTCATTGTCTTTTGGACGTAGCAGTGGCTTGGTCCTGCCCTAAGGGCGTTTTCCCAGGCCTGCCCTCCCAAGCTTTGCAGAAAAGCTGGACAAATCAACAGGTCTGAACATATGAAGGAGATTGAAGGAGTTTGTAAATGGTAAAGCAAACATTTGGAAAGTCTCCGTAGTTATCGCTAATGGTATCGCTATGGGTCTCTGCAAATGAAAGTAATATAATACTAAGTGACACGAAGTCTTTGCTTTCCGCGATTGACGGCAGAAGATTTGCTTCAAGGCAGACCAGCAAGGGCTTCCTCAACCCAGGCAGAGAGCTCAGACATGATCAGAGTCCCAGGCTTGTCGCTGGAAACCGCTTTACTGTGATTTACTGTGGAAGTTCAAAGATATTCAGGGGAACTTGAACGCTTTCCATTTCAAAAGATCTTTTTTTTGTGTCTGAAAATTTGCGCAGCTTCCAAATGCTTCATTTTGAGAGCCGGGTGCTTCCCGTGACACTTAGGATTTGGTCTCCGAGTTGGATCGAGCAGTGGCGCACTGATGGAGCTGCGTGGGCGGGAAAGGCAGGATCTGATGGAGCGTGACGGACCCAGGTGCAGCTGCTTCAAGCGGCCTTTTCTGAAGATCAGGCGCACCAAAAGCGCACCAAGAGCAGGGAAGTGAGAGACTGGAAGCTCAGTGAGTGTGAACGCAAGCAGATACATCAAAGCGAATTAGTAGCTGCAAGCGCTTGCTGCTCAAGCCAAGTGGCTAGCCGAATTGTCAGGATGTGTTAGACAGGAAACACCTTGGAGCCTTCACCCAAAGTCTTCAAATGACTATTTGAGACTTGTTGCGGGCCAAACTGGTTGCTTGCGAAGGCCGTGTTGTTTTGTCCTTTTCTGATAACCGATACTTGCAACGCCTCATTTACATACCTTGCACGTCATATGAGTCATATGCCAGTTTCCTCCTTGTGCAGCACAACTGAACCCTTTCAGACAGTTCAGGAGCCAATGACAAATTGGGAAAGACCCCTTCGAACAGTTTCGAGCCTTTCGCGCTGTTGCAACGCTTCTCCATGCAATGGGCAAGGCCTCGAGGCTCTGTGATATGCAACACACACTTCGAACTTGGGTTTTCAGTTAACGCAATTGTCTCAATGGG